TGTGTATATATCTCATTATATATGTATATGTGTATGTGTATGTGTATATATCTCATTATATATGTATATGTGTATGTGTATGTGTATATATCTCATATGTATATGTGTATGGGTATGTGTATATATTTCATTATATATGTATATGTGTATGGGTATGTGTATATATTTCATTATATATGGATATGTGTAGGTATGTGTATATCTCTCATTATATATGGATATGTTATGTGTAATGGTGTAAGACTCATAGTATATGGTCTGGGTATGTGTATATCTGTTCATTATTATGTATGTGTATGGGTTGTTTATTTATTTCAGTATATATGTATATGGTGTATGCGGGATGGTGTATATATATCATATATATGTCTAGTGTGGCTGTGTATGTGTTATATATTCCTTCCTATGTATATGTGTTATTGTGTATGTGTATAATCTCAAGAATGTAATGTGTATGTGTAGTGTATATATCTGCATCATATATGTAATGTGGATGGGTAGTGATCTATATCATTATAGTATGTGTATGTGTCGTGTTATGTGTATATATATAATTATATATGTATATGTGTATGTGTATATATCTCATTATATATGTATATGTGTATGTGTATGTGTATATATCTCATTATATATGTATATGTGTATGGGTATGTGTATATATCTCATTATATATTTATATGTGTATGTGTATGTGTATATATCTCATTATATATGTATATGTGTATGTGTATGTGTATATATCTCATATGTATATGTGTATGGGTATGTGTATATATTTCATTATATATGTATATGTGTATGGGTATGTGTATATATTTCATTATATATGTATATGTGTATGGGTATGTGTATATATCTCATTATATATGTATATGTGTATGTGTATGTGTATATATCTCATTATATATGTATATGTGTATGGGTATGTGTATATATCTCATTATATATGTATATGTGTATGTGTATGTGTATATATCTCATTATATATGTATATGTGTATGTGTATGTGTATATATGTATACACATATGATAGTGGATATCTAAAACATATCTTGATTTTGACACATACCCAGTCCATGCGATGGTGTGGTGGAATTATCAACCATGTGAGAAAAAATGAGTGATTCTTTAGTAACTAAGGATTTGAGTCTTGAGTTCAACGTACATCTAGTCCTAGTCTCATCTAAGTGTAGGTGCATCCCCAAACTCATTGGATTTGGGGACACTAACATCCACCCAAACACACAATGGTTGGGTGTAAGTCATGAAACCTTGGATTCAGCAATATATAATACATACATGTGTATATATATATATACAATTGCTGGAAAACTCAGCAATGCTCAGCAATTCGACAAAAAATCTTTTTCCAAACGCGAGAGATGCAGATCCGTAGATTCTGAAAATCATGAGATCCATGATTTCCATGACTGGACTGACGTTGTGCACACTGGTCTTAGCAATTTCCACCTTGCAGGGCTTGGGAAGCCCTGAGGATTTCATGGGAGAATTATGGTCCCAGATTTTTCGAACAGTTTTCGACATCCGAAGTCACCAAGTCACACGAAGTCACAGGAGTTGGAGAAGCTGAAGAGAGAATCTGAAGCACAGGAGAAACAGGTCACGGACCTGGGGTGTAGTTTTTATGCTTTTTTGGAGGCTTCGGCTGATAGTACTATCAAATCTTTCGAACTTTAGATATCTACCTTTACTACATTGAAGTACCAGTAGAATCCAGTAGATACATCTGTGGAAGATGATTCATCCAGCAGCTTCTAATGGCCGAAACCACCCATAAAATGTGGATGCTTGAGAAGACCCCTTCCCATTTCTGTCATTCATCCGTTCCGAAGTGTTCCGAACTGGCCAGAAATTCCAATCCAGTGAAAGTCCACCATGAAACCTCCATGAAACCTGGTGGAAACCCCGCAGAATTTCCCGAAAAACTGATGTTCAGAGTCTCCAATGCAACTCACTTCAGAATGGGTCGACACTCGATTTTCAGAGTGTGGCAACCACCAGGAAAATATGGGGTTATCTGAAAAACAGGCAAAGCCCCAAATTTGAGGCTTAGCATCACTTTCCACATTAAAACAACCATTGATTTTCAGATCTTGATGGTGTTTACCGCCCCACTTTCAGGTCACAGACTTGCTCCACGAACGGGACATCCTGGGGAAGGTGGGCCATGATCTTTTAGAAGCCAAGGGTAGGGTGACCATTCGCCATAGCCATATAGGCCATAACAGATGTATTTCAGTCTGAGGTCATTTTGTATATGAGCCATACCTTAGGTTTTTATACATGGAGGGGGATATATATATAATATGTATATATATATACATACATTGCAAGTTTGGTAAGACATCTGTAAGGTGATGAATAATGAGGTCTTGATCTTTTCAAAGATGTTTGTGATTGTTTTCCCATGAAGCATGGGCTAATACCAGCAGCAAAGAGCAGCTCCATAGAGCCACTAGATGCGTTTGTGATGACCAAGAACCTACCAATTAATACAGGGTTGGGTTGCATAATGTTAGATATTAATTGAAAAAATCTAGTTTTTTTTTTGACTATGGACGATGAGATTCCCTCTTCACCAACCAGCTTTTTTCCGTGTCGAGGCGTTGATGAAGGGCGATGAATGCTCAAAGCAACAAGTGGAACTGGTGGATCTTCACAAAGGACAAGCGCAGACCTTGTCCAAGGACCAGATGCCCTGGGAATCGGAGGGAGCGGAATTTTCTTGTTGTCGAGAGATAAATAAATAAATAAATAAATGAATTTTCTTGTTGTCGAGAGATAAATAAATAAATAAATAAATATATATATATATAAATAAATATATATATATATATATTATAGATATGATATACATGAATACATGTATGATCAACACATGTATATTACACATAAATATTTATATATATATACACATCATATAACACCGATTCCTACTGACATATGGGGGAGTGGAACAAATGGCTCAGACATCTTTTCGGGTCACATCACAGGCCATATGGCCACCATCGTTCGGACACCAGGACTTGCACCGCTGGAAGTCAGAGCTAGATCTGAAGTGCGGGCACCTGTTTTGATGTGACCCCAAGCTAAAACTGTAGCACCATGATGTAGCTAATCATTTTTGGTAAATCATCATTATGATTGTAGAGGCACCATGATTGTAGAGCCTTCAAATCACTTTTGGTGCACGATGTAGCCACGGAACACATCTGAAATCACACATTTTGAGGCTTCAACGGATGCACGAACTGGATCGACAGAGGGAGAAATATGCAGGAGATCTACAGCAGGCTGCCGGGGGGGTGATGTTGAAGTGCCAGAAGTGGTTTCCTGCATAATTTCCTTTCAACCAACCCAGTGATCAATATTTTTCTGGTGCAGTGTAATGATTGGAGATGCTGTTTTGATGTTGAGATGCAGCGGTTTTTCGCTGGGATTCAAGTTTTTCCTCTCCTCAAACCCGTTGGGTCTCTGCCTGGTATTATGAAATTCCACTTGCCTAAGTTGCAACACCTCAACTAAGTTTAAGGTACGAACAAACACCAATATGAGCTGAGGATGTACAAAATCCATTTTCGTTCAACAGCAACTCTTTCATGGCTTGGGCCCACCAACACTCGCATCCAGTCCATAGATTTTACATGATCAACATGTATCAAGCCCATTATCCCATTGATGTACATCAACCAGCCGGATACTTTTTGTCACCATTATCCCATTGATGTACATCAACCAGTAACTTTTTACATCTTTTTGCCACCATCAACTACCACTTTTTACCACCATCAACTCAGTTGATGAACATAAAATCAATAGTAATTGATGATGGTTTATAAATCCATTCATATATATATAATATATATATAATATATATATATAATATAATATATACACCTATATACCTATATATATATACTATACCTATATATATATCTACATGATATTCATCAACTACCGTGGTTTTTGCCGATTCCGGCCGGCCACCGGCCACCGCAGCTGGAGCACCGGGACCGGGAAATTGTCGTTCCGCCGAGGCCAAGCAACGCTGTGAGGTGGCACAGGAGCAGTTGCGAGGCGCCGCGGTGATGCCAATATCATGGCAATAATGGTAATAGACCAATGGTGATTAACCAATATATCATGGTTATTATCATGGTAATATTAATTGTAATAATACGTATAATATATACATATATACATATATATATATAGATATTGGTTGATGAATATTCGATTAACATAGATTGTTGATATAATTATGTTGATATTTTTAGTGATAAACTGATAAAGCCATGATTGATATTGAATGATAATGTTTTTTCCCCACTAAAATTTAAGTATGTCATCATACTTGGGGTAATTTTTGTCGCACTTTTCAGACAAATCTGATGGATGGTGATTTTGCCAAAAGAATAGATTTAACCAGCAGAAACAAAACAGTTGGACTGGATGGCAGAACACCAAAGTTTGACTGGTGCAGTTTTGCCCCATGAATTTTGTCAGTGGGTGCCCCATTGCATGGTTTAGGGGAGCTAGATCTGAATGGCATGATGGAAGTCCCATACTAATAGCCCTACCGGCGTTCCCACCTTCAGTCGCAGGTCGTGAGTCAGAAATGGCGCGACTGAAGCGAAGTATCGCCGACGTCCGCGCCAAATGGGCTCAGCAGAAGAACCTCTACGAGGAGCCGCGAGTCGGCTGAACTGCAGTATAGCCAGCCTCAATACAGATTTTTTGCATATGGACGAAGATATCGAAGATGTAAATTCTACAGGTCTGGGATATCGGTTCCAATTTTCACCATCAATATTAGCACATCACCCGCTCCAGAGGCAGTTCGAACGGATAAGAACCTCTACTCCAAAAACCTGGTGGAGTCGCTGGAAGAGATTAATGAGATGAGAAAAAAGTTCAAGGCCTGGGCAGTCGAAAATAGGTGATGAACATATACTACAGATGATTAAACATGGATGTTTATGTCTTGTTTAATGGCTTGGTTGAAGACTCAACACATGACTGCAATTTTGATTTCACGGAGAGCCCCTCGAACTATTGGTGTTTTAGTTCCACGTTGTTTCGATGCGTTTCTTTGCAATGGTGGCTCAGGTGATGTGCCACCAGATCGAACAGTTGAAGGAGGAAATCAAAGAAAAAGACGTTCGAATGATTGAGGCAGATGGGAACTTCGCGGAGAAGCAGGGTGGATCTTTTTATGATAAGGGGTATTACACTTTCCATCACTTTACAAAAGTTGCTGATTTTCTCCAACCTGATGCATGTATCCAAATATCAGTGAAAATACCTGGAGCATTTCGCAGTTGCAAATATGATTTCCTTGCTCTGTCGTGCTCCGTCGTGCTCTGTACCTTCAGGATCACTCGAAACACGTGCAGATCAGCAAGGACTGTCAAATTGGGTCAGATTGGGGGATCGATTGATATCAGGTTGGTGGTTTGGAACATGAATTTTATTTCTCCATATATTGAGAATTTCATCATCCCAACTGACGAACTCATATTTTTCAGAAGGGTGGCTCAACCACCAACCAGATATTGATTGATGGCTTGATGCCGGTCACGCTTAGGAGACGGAGAAGACCAAACACTCCGTGGAGAACCAAGAGAAGCAGCTGACCAAAGCACAACAGGCACTCGATGGCCGATCTTGGACGTTGAATGTGGTGTTTTCCATAGGGATGTGGGGTGTTTCTGGACGTTCGTTAAACATGGAGAATCTCATGGGTTTTGGGAGCCAGGTTGTTGAGCAACAACAAGCTGACATCAAAAAGCTGGAGGCTTCCAGCCCGGAGATGGAATGAGGGAAGGGTTTTACTGCATCTTGAGGCCAATGCTTTGCAGGAAGATCATGAAGATTGGTGTGTTTATAGTGACTTTCTAAGATGTGTGGGTCCCATTGTTCCTGAGGAAACATTGAAGATATTGACCTCATGGTGAGAAATCGCAATTCCGAAATGTGGACCATTTTCCTAGCCTCAGGAGAGTTTCAAATCTAAGATTTTCGGATCCCCTTTGTTTTGCAGCCCTCCAAATTTTGAACAAGGTCATTTTGGGGTAGTACCAGCCCTGGTTCAAACACCGGCTGTTCATTTTCGGGAGGTCTGAGGTGATTATCTATGATTTCACCCAGTAGGAAAATAGGTATAGAAACCAGGATGACATCGTGGATTGCAAGTGTTATAACGACATTGTTGGTTGGTTTCAACTAGATTAACTATAGATGTTTTTGCAGCCTAGCCACCCTCAAGAATGGCTTTATACACCCAATTAAACCACATTGAGAGAAACTGGTAAATCCATAAGATGGAGCATGCACCAACAAAAACGGGGAAAATTCATCCAGCAAAAAGTGAAATACACAGCACCAACTTTCAGGATTGCCATAAGTTTCCCTGGACTCCACTGATCGCTAGGGGGGGGTCCTCCAACAATGCCTGACTTCAGGGTGCATGAAAACATCGACTTCAGCCAAATTTCACCATGTGATTGATGACTGGCCAGAGATGACCTGTCAAAAAAAAGGATCCACTGGCACCAATTTTCTGTCTCATAGGAGGCTATTCTCAGCAATTCATCCCGGGATTTCTGTGCAGAATTTCAACACACAAACATCTATTTTTTTTGGGGGGTTTTGTGAGTTTAAAATTGGACATGGATTTACCCTCTGGTAAACTAACATAGCTATGGAAAATCACCATGTTTAATGGGAAAACTCACTATAAATGGTCATTTTCAATAGCTATGTTGACATAACCAGAGGGTATCCCTTTTTTTCACACCGCCGAAAGGGGGAGAAACATCCGAGGCCACCATCCAAGAAGCGGAGACGGAACGCCAGAACCAGCGCAAGGAGTTCGAGGCCGTGACCTCTGAACGGAACATCTTGGGGAAGCAGCTGATCCGACGCAATGAGGCGCTTGGGGTTGGCTGGGTGTGTTTTTTTCAGAGAAAAATGGGAATGATGAGGAAGAAATCGCACTTCTTTGAGGTGAATCTGTGATTGTTGAGGCTTCTTTGAAGTGTGTAATCAGTCCAGAAGCCGAAACCATGTGGTTTTGAAGCTGCCAGATCCTGACACCTGCATGGTCAGCCCGGGCAGGAGCTTTCATTGATCTATGAGAAGATCAAGATCCAGGCGCGCTGTGACAACCACCAGGTTGGCACCTGCGAATCCAAAGATCACAGGAACGCAAGATTCCCCATGATTTTGCAGGAAAGCACCTTGTCAAAGGGCGAGGCCGGGCCCCCCGAAAATCCTGGACCTCCAAAATGAGCTTTGAAGGACTTTGTGTTATTCATGGAAGAAAGACATCTTTTTTACCAGTAAAAAGTAAAAAAACATTTTTTACCAGTAAAAAGTAGAAACAAACAATGAGGATTTTCATGGATTTTCTCCAGTCCTCAAGTAACTACTTGATTTCTGGGCAGTGTTCTGGATGATCATGGTGGATACATGTCTTCACCCACAGGACCCCGATTATGACCGATGAAACTCGCAAAGTTGTGGTGGACTGCATGGACTACATGACTATGTGACCATATCTGCTAGTTTCCATGGTCTGCAGCCAATTTTTGGCTTTGGAAGTGGGTCCGTTTCTTCGAGACCACCCTGGTATACCCCGGTGTGCATTCGCTTGCTTGTGTTCTTGTGTCTCGGAAAAGAAAGAAAATGAGCGACGTCTCCGCAAAGCTTTGGGGAATATCCGATTATCATTGTTGGTGAGTTGTTGGTGGCATGTTCTGAGGGAGAAACGCTGTGAGACCCACAGTTCCCCAAATGAACACGTCCGCAGGCGCAGTACAAGAAACTCTTGGATGGTCTGCATGGACAGCGGGGCGATATCGGCGAGTCGGGGCGCCCCATTAGGGGCGATGATTTTAGAGTTCCTGGGGGAAAATTTCTGCACATCGATGATGGATGATGATGGATGATGGATGATGATGGATGATGATGGATGATGGATGCAATCGCATTTGGTCCATTGAGATCTATTGAGTCTATTGAGTCTATTGAACTGGCCCACGTTGTTCATTCGACATTGTTGAGGCTGAAGCGCGACTTGTACATTGCACGGCAGCAGGCAAGTCGACAACTGTCCACTGGGATGATGGCAAGTCGACAACTGGGTCCTGTGACTGGAGCCACCAGAAATCCAGGATGGAAACAAGCGAAATGACACTCCTTAGGCCCTTAGGCTTTGTGAGATCGTCATAGGTTTGTTGAACATATCCATGATCGATATGATCGGCTTATATCGGCTTTCAGCCTTTCAATTTTCCTGTGAAATCGTGTTGGTGGATTCCATCTCCCCAGTTTGTGCTGGCCAGAAAACCATGCCCCAAAAACCATACCCCTAAGGCCGGAAAACGTTTGTTTATTTTTGCTGATCTCTTGAAATTGGATGAAGGGTAAATTCACGGGAACTCCTCATGTTCAATTGTAAAAACCATGGTTTCTTGTTAAATCGTCCTCACACTAATCCATTGACCAACCACATATCCCGATTCCTGAGAGTTTAAATCATCATTTTTGATGGTTTTTGTTGACAGTTTTTCATGGTTTTTGATTGTTTTTGTTGACAGTTTTTCATCATTTTTGATGGTTTTTGTTAAGATGTTTGAGTTTTGTTGTGTTGGGTGCTCAACGTTGGCGAGGCGGAATCCGCTGGAAGCCTTGAGAAAGAGGTCTACCACTTACAGCGGGAACTGCTGCAGGAGCGAACCAAGGCCACATTTGGGAAATGGGGCAGCTTCACCAAGAAATGGTGGATGAATTTGGGGATGAACATTGGATATATCATTGACCTATACATTATACATATATATATAGATACATATACATACACATATATAGCATTTATGTATACATACACATATATACATACATATATATAGGGGATATGCGTATATAGATTGTATATCATTGAATGCATCTTCCCATATCGTTGTTTGGTTATGTTTATAATATGTTTATTAGGGATTTGATTCACCAACAAACGGGGAATAACGGGGGATCAGTCTCAGATACCACCGGAGCGGTCAGAATGGACTGGTCGGAGACGTTCCCATGAAACCTGGTTGAAAATATTCTGTAAATCAAATTCTCTGTGGTCCCCCCAACCAAGCATTTCATTTAGTTTGGCATTTTTTTTGGCGATTCTTGGATTTTGTGTACATGTAGTGAACATCTACAACCCTTACAGATCCTTACAGGAATATACAACTCTTACAGTGAAGATCGTAGAAGATCAATATTTCGTGTGTGTAGATCGCCCCAAGATCCCAGGTGCGCGCTCTGTCCGAAGAGTTGGAGAATCCCATGAACGTTCACCGCTGGAGGAAATTGGAGGGTTCTGATCCGGCCATGTACGAATTGATTCAGAAGGCTGGAAGTGCAGAATGGCTTCACAGATTGGACTTTTGGTGGCAGAATTTGTGGTGTTACCTGGTGAGTTGAGGACGTGATTGGAGTCGTTGAACCTGAACTGGTTGAACTGGTTTCGTATCTAACTGAAATTGCCTAGATTTCACCGTTTTTTTTGTCAATTGTTGGGACATTTCAGGTAATGTCACCTCAGGCCTGGTTTACTGCGGGGGGTCCCATAGTACTGGCATCTAACATCACCCTAAAGGCGGACCAACCCCTTGAAACCAGCTGACCGGCGATGAACATCGCAGGTCCGGAGCTTGCAAAAGCGGCTCATCGCTAAGACGGAGGAGGTCGTGGTGAAAGAGCTTTGGCCATAGCATATATTTTTTTAATGTCACGGTTCACCATGGGGGATGGGTGTCACCAAGAAAGTTAAAGGGAGGTATAAACGTAAGTAAATCAATAACGCACACAATACATATATATATAGATACATATATTATATAATATATACATATGCACAATGGGGATAGAACGGGATACATCACCAGATGATTTGTGGATTTGTGAAACAACGAGCCATGGGTGATGAAGCATCATGGCCATGGGCAGAAACTCAAGGATCCTCCGATGACACGAACAGATTGAATAGATACCTCATAATAGTTCCAATCAAGAATCAATCACGAACTAGTCAGCTAGACTTTCTTAAAAACTTACTCAGCTCTCTTATAAAGTTGGCAACGCCTCTAGGTTTCTTCAGGCAAAAAAAAAATCTCTCTCTCTCTATAGTCATTGCGGTGGTCTTCTCTTACTTTCTCCGTGTCTTCTTTCTGGAATTCCAGATCATACTGTATCTCTATTGTTAGGTAGTATTTTTTTTTTACTCTTCTTTGTGTCTTTTCTGGTACCCTCCGGTAATTTTACAGTGCTGTGGAACATGGCCCACTGCGTTCGATACTGATTGTTTGCTAAATGATATGCTCCATAGCATGTTCCTTGTTCCATGGCATCACATCTACATGTTGAAGATGGTCGTTTTTCTTTAAACAACATCATTGCATTATCAATAAACCCTGACATAAATAACTCCGACAGCAATACCAAATACTACTCTGATCTGATCATAATATAGCAACTGAAAGTTTTGGGTAAAACATGTAGAACCACCTGTAGACAAAGTCATCAGAACCAAGGATGACATGTTGAACATGATGCAAACAATAGCAACCAAGGCACACACACACACACATATCAGCCCCAGAAGCTCCCAGCATGACATTTTTTTTTGGGACAGCCGGGACAGCACCTACTGTGGATTTGCTGAGGACATCGAAATCCAAGAGAAGGACAAACTCCACAAGGCGTGCAGAAAGAGACCTCTGCAACGAATGGTTCCTGATTGAATATCCCGCTATGAAACGCGGACTGCACAAGATGTAGATGTTGAGTCCCCACAAGACCACAACTTGAGTCTTCCGATTATGAATATTATCAATATTCAAAATTCAAAGCTAGTATGTGCGCGTTTGCATCAGTTTGTGTTGCATGAAACATCGAGCAACGTCACCAATTGCATATGACCTTTGAGAGTCCAAGTTTCTGCGATCAGCTGGGTCCACTTTTCTCAGCTTAATACCATGCTTGGACAATTTTCCACAAATTGACAATGTTGGTACATACAAAATAATTATCTTTTTCTCTAAGTGTATGCATACACACACATATACATACATATATATATATATACATATTTGCATATATTTGTATATATATATATATTTATACATATACATGTATACACACATATACATGTATACACACATATACATGTATACATATATATACATACATATATATATATATATGCATGTGCATATATATATATATCATTCATGTATAGATATTAGACACGCATATAGGCTATATACATATATGTATAAATCTTTACATATTTGCATATTTTCTACCAGTTTACCAGGTCTTGATATTTAGAATGAGTTTCTTCTTCACCAGGTTACCCTATCCTGGGGGAACCCGGGGGAAGCTGCGTAGGAGTTGAACGGCATCTTGGAGAAGCAGCCAGGGCCCGAAGTCTTGGAACAATTAGAGCAGTACCAGGACCTCCGGCTACGGCTTGGGAGATCTATAGGAGCCTTGGAAAGCGGGGATTGATCAACCTATCTGTATAGATATGTATAGATTGTATAGCGTACATATATATATATATACATATATATAGATGGATATACTTATATATATATACATATGTATATAGAGATACATATGTTTATATCTATTTATGTGCATATGTATATATATATATGTATATTTGTATAGACATATATACCAAGGGTGCATTTGTCTTCTCATATGTAACCTTGAAATGTACATACGCATACGTTTAGTCTTAGAACCCAAGTGATCGGATATTTTTTTGGGCGCTTTTTTGGGAGCAGATCTCCTGACGCGCTGATGGTTGTGTCATGAGGAGACCTATGCGGC